GCACCTGGCACGGGCATCGTAGCCAGCCCGTGCCCCTTTAAGGGGTCCGGGGTCGGGAGGGGGGCAATAGAGTTTCCCTGGTGTTGGCCACAGTGGCCACCAGAGAAAGCTGGGAAGGGCTAGCCTCCCACTAGTTCGAATTAAGGGGCTACACAGCCCTTAATTCGAACTAGTAAGTTCGAACTAGGCTTAGTCCTCGTGCAATGAGGTTTACCTAGTTCGAACTAAGCGCTCCGCTAGTTGGAATTAAGTTCGAAATAGTGGAGCGCTAGTGGAGCGCCTATCAAAGTTAATTCGAACTAACGTCTGTTAGTTCGAATTAAGTTCGTAGTGTAGACATACCCGATGAGAGTAAAAGATGGGATTGACAACACTGTGCTGAGCCCATGCTGCCTGCACCATGCAGGGCTACCTGGAATGGTTGGTTCCAGCTCTTAGGTACTGCAAGGGCCTCACCCTCGCACCCTAAGCATTGCCATGGGCAGGTTTCTGGTAACATCCAGTGTGTCTTCTGAGGATGCACATTGTCCTGGTGGGCAATGATTTAGCACTCACCCAGGCATCCTCAAGCAAGCTGGCACGGATGACAAGAGGGGAAATGTTGGGGGTGAGGCAGAGGTGGACCAGCTCCCTCAGTGAGAGGGAACACAGCTTTCTAGCTTGCCTGGTCACCCCTATGTGAGCAGAAGTACCAGAAAGAAAGTGAGGATGGAGAATCCTTCTAACACCAGAGGGACAATGAAAGACTCGAGTCAGTGTCAGGGGAAACTGAAGCACCAAGTGCTGAAGGGACTTGTTCACCGTGACAGTGGAAGAACAAGGCTTAGAATTCTGGAGTCATGATGCTCAGACTCTGCTTTGACCATTAGACAATGCTGCCTGCATGAAGAACTGATCCACCTGCAAAATTCTCTCCATTCTATCTGACCGGGCCCTGAGGAAGGTAATACAGGGTGCTGGGCATCGGTCAGAGGCATCTTGCAACCTCCCCAAGACTGGGAATGCTCAGCTCCCTCAGGTGCCTTTAACATTCAGTGCCCTGCCTCCCATCACACCATTTCCCTACCCACCCCTGGAGAGCATGAGCCACTAAGCAGAGGGATTTGGGGATGCTGGTGCTCTAGGTCCCCAGTTCCAGTGTCTCCCTCGAAACAGCTACACTCCCTTAGGCTGCCTAGCCTGGTCTTGTCCTTGGGAATGGGAGCACACTGCAGCGGGGGCAGTGCAGGGCACAGCATATCCCAGGCGTTAATCCCGGGGGGGGAAGGCCAAGCTCGTTCAGCCCACCAGGAAGAGCAGTCCCTCTCCAGGCCGTGGGCATGTCCCTAGTCTAGGCTCTTGCTTCCTTCTTCCTGATGCCGAGACACACTGGCCTGAGCCTGCACAGAAAAGGAGCTGGTGCTCTCACAGCACTTTCAGTGCTGGGCCCCCAGATGCCCACTCACTGGCCCCAAATCCCAGCAGCTCAGGGAGAGCCAGGGAAATAGCCACGCCTCACTCCCAGTCTGAGTACATGGAAAACACGGGACTATTGGGCCTCAGCAGCACGCTCAGAGCGACTTGCAGAGCACCAGGCGTTAGTGCGTGGCCTGAATCCCACGCTCACAGCTTACCCTGATCCAGCCCTCCCAGCGAAGCTGACGAATTCATGCTGATTGGCTGCTTGCTCTGGCTGACCCCTGGACTTGGCAAGGCGGTTTTGGGAGATGGCACCCATCCGGGCGACGGAACAGCCATGGAAGGGGACTTCAGACGGCTCGGTGAACTGGTGGGAGACCTGACATTGAGAGAGGAGCTCATCACCTGGGGCGACTTCAGAGGCCCAGACTGGTTGGAAGGTGGCATGCTGATCATCTGCGAAGGCGTCTGTGGGGACTTCAGGTTGGCAGATGGGGAGGGGACAAGCGGCGAGTGCACCTGGCTGAGCGTCGGGGACTTGAGGTGAGCCATACCCGGGGAGTTCATCTGGCTGATGTTGATGGTGAGGTCGGAGGGCCTGCGGCCCAGCCCCCGGGAGGGTGCTGGGTGCATGTTGGCTAGGTTGCTCCCTTGGGTGGGAGGAGGATTGGAAGCTGTCGGCAAAGGGATGTGGCTGAGCCTGGTGGTGCTGCCCATGTTCCCAATGGGCATAGAGCCCTGCTCCGGACTGAACATGTCGTGGGCACTGCCCAAGTCCTGGGGCATGCCGGGATAGGGGCCCTGCCCACCTGAGAAGCCTGGCTGCCCTTGGCTGGGGAACTGAGAGGGGATCATCATCTTCTGCGGCCCCCACAGCATGGTGCCACTGCTGCCATTCTGAGCCCTCACCCTGGCCAGGTCCTCGGGGCTGATGCCCTGGTGGGCTATCATGTCAGGGCCCCTCATCTTCTGCGACATCATCATCTGCTGCTGTGGGGTCATCTGGACATTGAGGTTCATGTTCATGTTCATGTTGACATTCATGTTCATGTTGAGGTTCCCAGGCCCCATGGGCGCATCCATGTCACGGAGGCTGGACTGGCTCATGGGTGGGCTCAACATCCCCCGGGAACCCGGGAAGTCCATACTCATCGGGGCACCGGCAAGGCTCTCTCCTGGCATTTGTCCGGGGAACATAGATGGGTCGATTTGCCTGTGAGCCTGTATCATCCTCTCCATTTCCAGACCTTGGCTCAGGGAGCTGCCAGACATCCCCATGGGCCTCTGCATCGCCACCGGGCGCTTCTCCATCAGCTGGTGCCTCAGGAGCTCCTCCCTGGCAGGGGGGCCTTGCCCTGAAGGGTAGGGCAGGCTCCCTTGTGGAAAGTTGCCTGGGCCTCCCATTGGAGGCATATCCTCATTCCACCCCATGCCAGGCCTGACTGGCCGCTGCATAGCAGTCATGGGCCCCAGAGCATCCATGGGCACATTCTGCATCCCACCAAAGCCCGAGACCCTCTGCATCTGATTTCCAGGGAACCTTGGCCCTGGGAAAGGTGGTGCTCCCCTCAGCTGCATGGGGTCCTGGACCTCTATGGGCCCCCTCAGCTGGTTGCCCATCCCTGGAGGCCACGGTTCCCCAGGTTTGCTGTGATAGGGCGGTGGTGGACCCCGGATCATCATGCCACCCATGGACTGTGGGATCATCATCTCCTGCATGGGCCGACCATGGATGCTGATCTGCTCCTCCTTCCGCCGCTTCTCCTCATAATACTCCTCCTGCAGCTTCCTCCAGGCCACCTGCTCTGGTGTCAGGCTGTCCTGGTTCAGCCGCTGCATCATGATGTTCATCTGCTGCCCCATGTCAGAGCCCGGGTGGTGGGAGACCTCGTGCTCCAGGTTAGGCCCCCCCAAATTCTGCGTCTGTGAAATCATGGACTGCAGGGGCTCTTCGTACTTCTTCATGCCTGCAGGTGGGAGGGGTGGCTGGGGAGCAGGGCCTCCCTCACCAGCACTTTGGTTGGACTTCATGAAGGGCTCAGTCTCCCCACTGCGCAGCAGCAGGCGCTCAATGTCCCGCAGGGTCTGCAGGGAGCGTTCCCGGTGCTCCAGCTGCTCCTTAGAGAGCCCCTCTGAGTTCATGGGGTTCCTGGGGCCCAGCCCTACCTGCCCGTTGCCGGCTGCCCCGGCACTAGTGCCATCCCCCAGTAGGTTAGAGCTGGAAGCACTAGAGGAGTCCACCTGCCCGGGCTGCACAGTTGGTGTGTTGGGGTGGTTGCTCCCTGGCTGGGTGCTGCCACTGCTATTTCCCACAGAGCTGGGAGTCAGGTCCCGCCGAATGTCCTCTCCCGTCCCGTCCTGCGCTAGGGAACTTGGTGCAGGCAGAGCTTGCTGACTGATGCTCTGAGGTGGTGGGGGCTGTGCCGGGGGCGGCTGGGGCTGTGCCTGGTTGCCTTGTGATGAAGGAGGCTGGGACTGCGGAGTGCTGGAAGCAGGTGGGTTAACTGGCAATTGCTCGGTGACTCCCAGCCCCTTGGGAGCTGGAGCCTAGGAGAGAAAGGGGTAGCCAAAGTCAGCAAATAAACACAGAAGGCAGGTGTATAGCCCCAGACATTGGCTGGCTTCCAGCCTTGAACCCCCTCCCCCCCCCAAGAACCAAGTGAGCCACCTCGGGGAGAGCACGCTGAAAGCAGGGGTCAGGGTGTGACTGGCCATGGGGGCATTGTGCACACAGACAGAAGTGCCTGGCTCACACCCAGCCATACCTGGTCTAGCTTTGCTCTGGGAACATTCTGCTGATGATAAGTCAGGATGGAGTCTGCTCGCCCCTGCAAGACTGCTTCTGCAGCACTGCGAGAGAGGACAGCCAGTCAAGAACAGCAAAGGATTAGGCCAGAAATACTTAGCAATTCCCTGGGTCCCAGCATTTCACCCTCTCCACCTCTAGTGCTGTGCGCTGCCCCAGAAGGAGACCGCATGGGAGGGAGATGCTCTGGGATAGAACCCATGTTCTTTGCTATTGCAAAGTAACACAAAGCAAAAGCAAAACCAACATATAACATGAAAGAAAATGAGAAGTCACTGGACAGTGGCTCTCGTCCTGCTGGGGGCTGGCTCCTGTTCCCCACATCGGGCTTTGTGACCGGGTGCACAGGGTCACAGTGCTCCTCAGCTTTGGCCTCTGCCGTAACAGGAAGGAACAGGGGAGTGCAGCTGAGCCAAATATGAGCGAGTGGCATTGTGACTTGGCAGATGGCGTTGCAGCACCACTCACTCGAGTTTGGTCTGACCACATCCCCAGCCTCAAGCTGGGAAGCCAGCCGTGCCAAACCTCAGCAGCACTGTCACTCTGTGCGCCAGATCTCAATGTGAGAGCCGGGAGGCAGGTGCAGTCCATTGGGTGCTACACAGCGTGGGGCAGGCTCACTCAGCAAAATCCCCTCAGGGCCTCCCACTTCTCCTGGGACAGGACTCAAGGCAGCACACAGCTCCCAAAACCCCCAAAAGTAGAAAGAAGGAGGATTTCACAGAACACTAGCTATGACCCAAGCAGGCACTCTAAAGCTGTAGGTCCGCCAAGAACCAACAGCTGAGATACTGTAAAAGAGTGAAGGGAGCAAGCTGAGGGCCCATGGGCAGTCGAAGGCAAGCCCCCAGCCCACCTAGTCCCACCCCTTCCCCACCCCGGGACGCGCCACACGCGTGCTTCCCCCTTCCAACCATGGGGAGAGGAGGGCAGGGAAGCAGGCGCACGCTCACCGCAGCCTCCCCAGCCCCAGTGGAAGGTGCACCACACGGCCTGGCCAAGCCCAGCCCAGCCTCTCCAGCCCTGGAGCACTGGGGGAGGGAGGAGGGCATGCCACACAGCCAGGTCTGGCCTCCACATCCCCAAGGCACTGGGAGCGTGGGGGCTGAGGGCAACAACACTCCGCCCCCAGAACGCCTGCTGAAGGAGCAATGTGGAGGGGCCTATGCCTGGCGGTTTGGGAAGGCAGAGCCTTCTCCTGCCTTACATACCCAGCGTGTTAGCACCCCGTGCCACCTCCTGCAATCCGTCCTCCTAGGGACCTTCCAGATCACAACCACTGATCCATCTAACCAGGTATCCTGCCTCTGACAGCAGCCACCGTGTGGCTCAATGTCCTTGCTGTGACCCTTTACTATACAGGTGGCCAAATGCACTTGGTGGCTCATGTTGCAGCTGGTAGCGTCAGGGCACTGCTGGGAGGCAGCTCACATTTAAGACAAAGTCTCTCTCCTAGAAACTGACAAATATGGCAGAAAGAACGGGGGGAAGGAGGGATCATCCTGGGGCAACCCAGGGAGCCTTCAGTCCCCATCTCCTCCAGTACCTGCAGTGCTACCTGCAGCCTCTAGGAGGCAGCTGCACTAGACCAGCCCAAGTGGCTAGAGCAAATGGGGAGGCTTGGGGAGGACACGGGGGTTTACTGCTTACGTGTTAGCAAGGTGCGTGGTGAAGACGTAAACAAACTGGGAAGGCTGCTTTCCAGCACCGCCGCCTCCACTCCCCCCAGCATCGGGCCGAAGGCCAGAAGCACTGCCGTGCGGTGCATTGGAAGAACTCGTCTCGTTCAGGCTCGGCAGCGGGTTGGACCCAGGACCAAGCTGTGAGGCTGTGGACATTGCAGGATCTGCTACATTACAGTCTACAGAGGCACAGGAAAGAGCAGCTGTTACCAACAATTAGCATAACACAATCTTCTGGGAAGCAGGGAGCAGCAAGCTAGAGCCAAACAGCTGGACTAAGGGTGGGGTAACAATGGAATGGAGGAAACTAGGGCTGGGATTGTGGGGTCAGCAAGCTGGGAATGAGGGGCACCAGCAGAGCTGCGTGGCCGGGAGCCCAGGGAGTCGGAGAGCCAGGACTGCGTGCGGTGTCAGAGGCGTGTGAGGAAAGGATTCAGCGTCTAGGGCAGCCCAACATGCTACCCTGGATCTGATCCCCATTCCGCAGGGCTTCCCAACCTAGGGGTCGCCATTACATTTCAAAAGGCTCCCCAGGTGGCTCTTCAGGAGCCATTCCCACCTTTTTGAATTGCCCTGGGTCACCAAGTCTTCCCGAATTGTCAGAATGGGTCCCCATCTGGAAAAGGTGGAAACACAGGAAAGAAGGGAATCCGCATGTCCTGGGGAGAGAGGTCTCTGGCCTCTTCCTGCCATTCCCCCAGCCTCCAGCAGATGGCAGCACATGACAGAGAATTGTCTGAACCTGGGTGGCTACAGGCTCCTAAGGAGCCGGGTGTGGCTTAGTTCCTCCTCTTCATCTTCCCTTCTGCTGAGTGATTCACCCGACACCTCTAGCCCTTCCCCTCCCAGGACGGTTGCCGGAGCGACAGTCAGTCACCAATACTCCTACTGAATATTAACAGTCGTCGTGCAAATGCAAAGCACGACCTGCTGCTAATTACAGTGACCACCGGACAGCTGGAGGCTGGCTCGCAGGCAGTCGGCATTAGCACGCCCACCTGCACCAAGGCCTCCTGGAGCCAGAGCCACACGCATCCCAGGCCCTGAACTCCCTGGGAGGGCAGAGCTACTGCACCTTCAAGTGAACTAGGAGGTTCTGATACTAAAGGCAGGACAAGGCTGGAATGGGGGCAAGGCCAGGATTGACCCAGAGCTGCTTCTGTGCACTGTCCAAACTGCCCCGGGTCTCTGAGCCAGACTCCCTAGAGACTCCACTGGAAGGGGGATTTGGGCTCTAGCCTGTGTCCAGGGAAGGCTCACTGGGTCTTGGGGCTCACAGTTGACAAAACTCTAACAAACAGGGGCCTCACTAGCTGCTCCCAGACAGCCCCAGAAATAATTAGCACTCCCCTTGCACCTTTCACCTGCAGATCACAAAGCCTTTTGTAAAGGGCAGGGCAGCATTAGCCCTTTCTACTGCGGCACAGAGGAGACGAGACCCAGTGAATCAGTGGCTCAGCCAAGGCGATCCCCCCACAGTCCTGACTTCCAGCCTGGTGCCTGGGCTATACGGCCTGAAATCCAGTGATCTAAAGGAAGAAGCCTTGAATAGCACCTTGCTGTGAGCTCCTGTCTATTGGCCCCACGTGGAATGACACCTGAGAGCAACTCTGCAGCTCCTTGTGTGCCTGCCCATTTTCTTTATGCTGCCTGTAGAGGCACATCAAGGGGGGCACCTGCTCCCGGGCTGGCGATTCAAAAGGCGCAGGACTCCCAGCCACTGCCGCTGCAAATTGTTGTTGTAGCTCCAGGTGGTGCTGAACAGTTGGCGGGCGAAGGCTAGCCCTGCAGCCCCTCCCCTCCAATCCAAGCCTGACCCCTTTCTGGAGCGAAGAGCCGTGCTTCATACACCTTGTCCAGGGGCCTGGCAAGTCTGTCTGACCCCTGACTGCCTGCCTTGCGCCACACCCAACCGGAGCCCCACACAGCAGAGGGAAGGCTCCTTTCTAGGGCTTTGCCATGTTATGGGCATGCAGAAATGCATATTTCCAACTCTTCCCGTACGACTTCCCGTACCAAACTGGGTGGGGTTGCAACTTCTTTGGAGGATAGGGACATAATTCAAAATGACCTTAGCAAGTTAGAGAAATGGTCAGAGGTAAACAGGATGAGGTTTAATAAAGAGAAATGCAAAGTGCTCCACTTAGGAAGGAACAATCAGTTCCATACATACAAGATGGGAAGCGACTGTCTAGGAAGGAGCATGGCGGAAAGGGATCTAGGGGTCATAGTGGACCACAAGTTGAATATGAGTCAGCAGTGTGATGCTGTTGCAAAAAAAGCAAATATGATTCTAGGTTGTATCAACAGGTGTGTTGTAAGCAAAACTCGTGAAGTCATTCTGCCGCTCTACTCTGCACTAGTTAGGCCTCAGCTGGAGTACTGTGTCCAGTTCTGGGCGCCACATTTCAAGAAAGATGTGGAGAAATTGGAAAGGGTAGAGAGAAGAGCGACAAGAATGATGAAAGGTTTAGAGAACATGACCTATGAAGCCAGGCTTCATGAACTGGGCTTGTTTAGTTTGGAAAAAAGAAGATTAAGGGCGGACATGATAGCCGTTTTCAAATATCTAAAAGGGTGTCACAAGGAGGAAGGCGAAAATTTGTTCCTCTTGGTTTCTGAGGACAGGACAAGGAGTAATGGGCTTAAAGTGCAGCAGGGGAGGTTTAGATTGGACATTAGGAAAAAATTCCTAACTGTCAGGGAGGTCAAATATTGGAATAAATTGCCAAGGGAGGTGGTGGAATCTCCCTCTCTGGAGATATTTAAGAACAGGTTAGATAGATGGTGTAGACGGAACTTGGTCCTGCCTTGAGGGCGGGGGGCTGGACTCGATGACCTCTCGAGGTCCCTTCCAGTCCTATTATTCTATGATTCTATGACTTTATGATGGCAGGAAGAGCATGAACATGGAATGGCAGCCCCTTTCCAATGGAGTCTGGAAAGATGACAGTAACGGCCAAATAAGTTCGGAGTTAGTGTGCACTGTGCTGCAACATTGCAAGTGGCTACAACATCCAGCTGTTTTTCTTTACCACCAAAAATACAGGCAGAAGCCCAAGATCAGAAGAGAAAGCTAGTGCACTACTAAGACTTTGGGACCTGCTGTGCTTTGCTGTCTTCACTTTCTCTCTCACCCACATCTCTTCAGAATCTTTGATTCCCTGGCGCTGGACACCCTTGCTGTGGCCTGTTAACTGCATTGTCCCATCCTGCAGAGTTTTGAAGTCCCTCCTGGAAATATCCTTAAACCTGAGTCTAGGTTGGCCCAGTGGTCTTGGAACATCCACAAATTCTGCATACAGAATACTACGCCAGCAACTGTATTTAAGAACAGTGATTAGACTTGGCAATTTTGCTTTCTCAGGAACATTGGTTTCTTACTTGACATTTGGAATATGATGAAGACAATGGGTATGGAAGGTGTTTAGCCTATGCTCATGCCCATGTAGGTTGTCCAAGTCTTGCCTCTATCCAGCAGTGTAATCAAAACGCACAGCTGGTAGACCCAAACCTTTATGTGGGCTGATTGGCTGAAGATGATGGCTGCCTTTCCAATGTGCAGGGGCAGACGACAGTTTTGCGGGGCCCCAGGCAGCGTAATTCCATGGCTCCCCCCCTTTGCCACGGCGCATTCGCAGCGGCGCCACGGCGCATGCGCGGGGCTTTCTGAAGCGCAGGGCCCGGGGCAGCCGCGCTGTTCGCCCTACCCTATATCCGCCCCTGCCAACGTGAGAACTGAGCTCATCTACATAGGTTATACAATACAGCTGATCCTAGACAGCAGAGCCTGTGCATAACTTTTAGCAAGATACTAGCTATTAAAATGTCTGTCGCAGTCAACACACTTTTGCCATAACCATTATCCTCTTTAGACCAATGATTAGTCCAAATTTGCCACAAAGTAGTGCAAAGCTACTGCCAAGTTTTGAAAGATCCTCTTCACTGTATGAGACAAACAGTGCACCATCACCATAAAGTCTGCTGTTAGCTCTACCCTGTGCAATATTGAAGTGTTTTCCGTACACTCTCAGTGCTAGATTAGAAAGCATGACAAGGCAGCAGAGAGAAGAATATATTGAAAAGAATTAATGCCAGAACACATCCCTGTTTGATACCACTGCTGATTAGTATCAAACAGTCAGCTTGATCACCATCATATTGGATAAGAACATAACATAAGAACGGCCGTACTGGGTCAGACCAAAGGTCCATCTAGCCCAGTATCCTGTCTGCTGACAGTGGCCAGGTGCCCCAGAGGGGGTGGACCGAAGACAATGACCAAGCAATTTGTTTCCTGCCATCCCTCTCCAGTCTCTGACAGAGGCCAAGGACACAATTTATCCCCTGGCTAATAGCCTTTTATGGACCTAACCTCCATGAAATTATCTAGCTTCTCTTTAAACTCTATTATAGTCCTAGCCTTCACAGCCTCCTCTGGCAAGGAGTTCCACAGGTTGACTACACGCTGTGTGAAGAAGAACTTTCTTTTATTAGTTTTAAACCTGCTACCCATTAACTTCATTTGGTGTCCTCTAGTTCTTCTATTATGGGAACTAATAAATAACTTTTCTTTAAATCACCCTCTCCACACAACTCATGATTTTATAGACCTCTATCCTATCCCCCTCAGTCTCCTCTTTTCTAAACTGGAAAGTCCCAGTTGCTTTAGCCTCTCTTCATATGGGACCCGTTCCAAACCCCTAATCATTTTAATTGCCCTTTTCTGAACCCTTTCTAAGGCCAAAATATCTTTTTGAGGTGAGGAGACCACATCTGTACACAGTATTCAAGATGTGGGCGTACCATAGTTTTATACAGGGGCAGTAAGATATTCTGGGTCTTATTTTCTATCCCTTTCCTAATAATTCCTAGCATCCTATTTGCCTTTTTGACCGCCGCTGCCCACTGTGTGGAAGTTTTCAGAGAACTGTCCACGATAACTCCAAGACCTCCTTCGTGATTTGTCGTAGCCAATTTAGCCCCCATCATACTGTACGTGTAGTTGGGGTTATTTTTTCCAACATGCATTACTTTACACTTACCCACATTAAATTTCATTTGCCATTTTGTTGCCCAATCACTGAGTTTGGTGAGATCTTTTTGAAGTTCTTCACAGTCTGCTTCTGTCTTGCCTATCCTAAACAGCTTAGTATCATCCGCAAACTTTACTACCTCACTGCTTACCCCCTTATCCAGATCATGAATAAGTTGAAAAGGATTGGTCCCAGGACTGACCCTTGGTAGCCTTCATGTCACTGTGGAAAGACTGAACCAGACTGACGAGGGCCAGAGGGGCAACAAATTCTCTTGCAATTGGAAAAGACCCATTGGGCTTACCAGGTCTTTGCAAGATCTATGAAAACCACGTAGAGAGGTTGTCCTTGATCTTAACACGTCTCTTATAGCTGCTTTAATGAAGGCTATGTGGATAATTGATCTGCAGGCATGGAAGATACAGTGACTCTCTGAATATACACATCAGAGAGACCTGTACCTACCAGCAATTCTAAGGAGAGATTCCTCTGTAATTTTTGCAATCACTTCATTCTCCTTTGATTTTATAGAACATTATGATGCCAGTATAGTTCATGTCTTGAAACGCAATACCCTCCTTTCCTCCACCAGGCAAACAAGACATTAGGCAGATGTTTAAGTCATATTCCCATACTTCAGTTGGAATTCCTTTTCCTGTAGCCTGTCCTGGTGCTAGGGTGGTGATTGCCTTTTGAAGCTCATGTATAGATGGTTCTATATCAAACTCTTTGACAGTTTGAAACCTGGGGATTGCATATGTGTTACTTAAGAAAGAGTGGTTTCATGTGACCAGAGCTTGTGATACTGCATCTGTTGACGATGTCGTCTCCACTAAGAGCTCTGAGTGGGGCAGGCTTCCTGGCTGCTTTCTTGACTCCATCATCCACTGTGACCTCTGTTCTTGAAGGACATTTTTACCTTTTCTCTGAGAAAGCGCCAGTACAATTGAGCATATTTCTTTGCTGTTTCTTCCAATGTTCTCTTGGCCATGCTGAGATTAACTCATTTCAGGAGAGCGTATCCTGTTGTAGTGGATATATGGCATGCATTTCGCTTCAATAACTGAAAGTATACTTCAGTGCATGTGGAAAACCAGTCTATGTGCTGTACAGTACTTTTACCGAAAGATGAGGTTGCAGGTATATAGGGATGGAGAAGACAATGCAAGTCCCTTCTGTCAAATTGGGAGCCTGGGTCATTCAGGAGGTGGAGAGGTGTTCATAGCTATAAGTGTCCTGAGTTTTAAGAAATGCCAACCACTGTGAATACTGATCTATGAAAATTTGCTCTTACTTTAGGGACAATTTCTCTGAATCACAAACTGATAGCTTCACACATTTAATGACATTACTATGTTACACTCACTGTGAACAGAATTTAAATACAACTCTGGAAGCAAATGGAAATAT